TGGGACGAGGAGCCCGCGGAGGGCGGAGATGCTGTGCCAACTGAGAGGAGGTCTTGGACGCTGTTTCCATCCGCTCCACGAGGGTCTGGATGTCTGGTCCAAACAAGGAAGAGGAGGAGAGCGGCAGATCCAGAAGGCGCCGCTTATCAGCATCCCTGAGAGGTGACAGGCCCAACCAGAGATGGCGGCAGGCGACCTGGGCCGCACACATGGACCTACCACCGTCCACCGCTAAGCCCTGTGCCATGCGGAGGAAGGTGGCCATAGTATCCTCAGCCTCCTCGATCTCCGTCCGGGAGAGCTCCTCCCGACCCCGGATGAGAGTGTCGAGGGAAGCAGCGAGGAGAGTCATGTTATTTGCCAAAGCAACGACCTGTGTTGCATTGGCATAACATCTGTCGAGCATGGAGATGGTCAGCTTGTCCCGCTCGGAGGGAGCTGCCAGTCCAGACCACGGAGATGAAGCTGGAAGCAGAGACAGGCGCACTCCGTCTTCTATGGGAGGAACGCCTGACGGCCTAGGCCATGCGTCCACTCCTGCATACACTCCGTACGCCAAGGCCGGGGATTTGGCTGCCATGGGCCTATCCCACTCACGGCTGGCATAATGCAGCAGCGGTTCCATCCTGGGAGCAACCACCTCGCGTCTGCGTCGTCGGGGGGAGGGAGCGAGGGACTGTAAATAGTGCACCGGAGGCGAGGCGGGCTGGACCGGCATCGCCATACGCATCCTGACCACAGCCGATGCGGTCAAATGCGAGAAACGATCCAGGGGATAGCGCTCGCGTTGCCCCACCTCCTGGGAGTAGGAGGACTGGGCATCCTCCTCGCAGGGCTCCACCAACTCCCCCTCATCGTCGTCGGACCCTGGTCCAGATCCAGAGCCTGACATCTCCGCTGATCCAGGCGAAGCAGCAGTGTGGGCGGAGGGTGGCACACCATGAGCGAGGGCACCCTGGGCATCACTACAGGCGGCGTTGAGTAGCCCGCTGCGCCTGTCGCGCTCCTCCCTGGGGAGCGCGAGGCAAGCCACACAGCTGGGGCTTTCCTCCGCGGCATGACGCCAGCCCAGGCAGAAGACGCAGGACTCGTGGCGGTCAGCCAGGGAGAGTGCCGCTGGGCACGAGTCGCAGACCCGCAGCTTGACACCGGAGGGTGACAGATCTTCAGGCGCGGCGAACTTGCTTGATGACATCCTATTCCAATGATCGAAGCTTCTCTTAGGCAAGCTGAGAGAGAAAAGGAGAAGAGCTGTGGTGCATGACCCTTTTTATAGGGGACAGACCTACGCCAGGACGTGAAGGTGATTGGAGGGTGGATCGTTTGATCTTCTCAGGGCGGGAAGCGATGCTTCCGAGAGATATGCATTAGCGAAGCCTAAAGGGCGAAGCAACATATGAAATAGAAAGAGATAATAAAAATAAAGAATAAAAAACACTTCTAAGGAATAAATTTAAATTTAAAATAGAGTTACAGTTACTATTTACAATATACAAGTGCACATGGTGCACACAATGTAAGGTGACAGCAGTACAGTGAAGTAAAGTGACGTATGATGGGCAGTAAAGTGACTTTATAAAGGGCGGGGGGACAGGTTAAGAAGTGTTCAAGAGTCCAACAGCAGAGGGGAAGAAACTGTTCTTGTGGCGGGAGGTTCTAGTCCTGATGGACCGCAGCCTCCTGCCTGAGGGGAGTGGTTGGAATAGTCCATGTGCAGGGTAATGAATACAAAAATAAAGTCAGTTAACAGCTTTAAGGCAGCTTTAACCTCAAGTCCCACCAGGGCCCAACGGAGTACCTAGCGTGGAGGAGGGACTCTGTTGGGCCCCATAAAAGTTCCTGTAAATGGCCCTGTGGGGGAAGTCCCTGCAGTGGAGACACGCACCGACGGGGCTGGCCCTGGAAAATTACCCCGAAGTTCCTGCGGTGGAAACGCGTTTATTGTAAAAAAAAAAGTCACATTGTGCCGCTCCACTGCTCAAACAACACTTCAGAATCAGAATCAGAATCATTTTTATTGCCACGTAAGTAACAAAAGTTACCACTTGAAAATAGTTTTTGCAGAGAGCGTGCCACTTCGCCATTTAACTGATCAAACGTCTATGAAATCAATGTTCATTTTTCTATTTTCCATTGAAATAATTAGCTTCTTGTTTGTCAGGGGGCATGGCCATAAAAAACACTTTGAGAGAAAATGCAGCTATGTTCCTAATTTTGTCTACTGTCATCAGTTTTAAGCTGCGTTCACACCGGATCATGCGTTGCGTCGACTTTCAATGCAAAGTCAATGGTGACGCGCTTTTGAGCGTGGAACGGCATGTGCGTCTCGGGATGCACGCACAGACTGTGCGGCAAAGGCGCAGGAGCGGAAAATTGACGCATGCAGGAGATAAATATTGCTGAGCTTTTCCTCGGGACACTTGTGCAGCGACTAATCAGAGATCCGCAAAGTGGTCACGGGGACATTAGTGGTCTGAGCGAGCAGACTGAACATACTCATAAACAGCCAAAACAGGAGCTACACCAGGTCTAAACCAGGGTTGACAATGGGGGACTGTGTGCTTGTGAACATATGTGTTTTCATGCTCCTGTGACTTTATGCAACTGCTTCGAGTGTGTTCGCCAATGTGGAAGTACAGTTTAATAATAAAATAAACATATGGCACACCTCCTTGAACACATACTGCTGGTATATTAAGTCTCTGGAAGGTCTCTGGAGACAGAGACCCTGCAGAGCTGCATTATTGGAAAAGAACTTTACACAAAAAGCCGCTAGCTTAACTTCGTTAGCATCAAAGTCCGCCCGCTACTTCCGGTGGGTGACAGGACTTGTGGTCTGAAGACCCCTGCGTCTGAATATTAGAGAATGTGCGTCTGGTGCGCGAGGCGTCAGCGTTCCAGCGTCGACGGTGTGAAAGCCCCATAACACTTGACATTTTAGTTTCTGTCTTGTGACAGCCGGTCAATAAAATCCCCATGTCTGTGTCCAGCACAAAAACATATCAACCAACAATGTAAGTGTTAGTACATAAAATCACTGATAATAAATTGTATTGTATTTTATGCAACAATGTGTACTAAATTTCGTGTCTCTACGACAAACTTGACCTCGGACCCCCTCCCATATAGGCGCAATGTAAACTGATTTTTGTGGGGGGCGCTGCTCTGGCATTTTTTTTTTAGTCCCATAAAAATAAACAAATAAACAAATCATCGGCTACAATAAATTTGAACGTCATGTTCTCAGTGAACTCAGAATAATTGTATCACTCTTGTGTTTGACTGACACTGACCTGAATGTATTGGATGTGTTTGTTCTTTTACTGAAAGGTGAAAGTTTTAGCAATGTATGTTTCAATTGTATAAGTAAAAAAGTTGAAATATTTGATACTTAGAGTGTTTACAATTATATATAAAATGAGGAACACAACAAAACAAACAGTAATATATGTATTATTGATATTCATTTTATTCTTATGTTTAAACAAAGAAACCAATGATCGAACAATTCACAGATTTGCAGAGACTCTGTGCTAGAACATTAACAAATCGAAAAACGGAAAACAAATTCGTTTTTTTCTTATTGTTTTTAAATTGAACACGTAAATGTAGTCGTTTCCAATGTTTTTGTCCCCTGGACTGCCTCCTTAACATGGTGGGGGAGTTTTAGTGCTCAGATGATCCTGGGAGCCTTGTTGTCTGGCCATGGTACACAGGTGACAAGTCAAACGAAACGCAGTCCAAAAACCACCGTGGATAGCACGAAAAGAAAAAGCCGTCACCTGGTACCCCGCAGCCGTGGCCCCACTCTAGTCCATCTAGTGGGTGCAGGGGGCTGGGCAGTTGAAGGCAGTGTCCACTGGGCAGTGTTCACTGGGTTGGAGAGGAGTGAGGAGGTGGCAAAGGCAGTGTCCACTGGGTTGGAGAGGAGTGAGGAGTAGGCAAAGGCAGTGTCCACTGGGTTGGAGACGAGTGAAGAGGTCACAAAGTGACATAGACCTTGTGCTTCAGTTTCTCGAGTGTGACCTAGAGGAGGACTTTCAGGTCAGGTCTGTCACATGGAACAATTCTTATTTTATTTGTTTGATTTCTCAGGTCACCTTTAAACAGCTGTCAATCTCCTTCTACAGAGCTTGGGCAAGAATAAGTCACACCCCCCTCTTCAATGGAATCTACAGTTTGTAAATAAGGTCTCCTAAGAAAATTAAATAAATGAAATTAGGTCCTGCTCATAAACAAGTTACAAACCACCCTCGCTCTGACCCCATCCAGATACAGCTCAAGTCACTGTCACATGTGGGCCAGTTCCTGCTGGAGTCTCAGAGCTACTGTCCAGCTCTTTGGGTTTGGTCAGAGACATTGACGGTTACCTCAGAGTGAATCTCATGAAATAATACTGTGAGAAATCCCCCGAACACACACCCTCTGCTGGCTCCGCCCTCCCACACCTACACACCTGGGTGCAATTAGGCAGCCATTTTAAGTCCTGGAAGCCCATTGTTTCCCCTTTCATTTCAATCCAGGCTATGGATCAGCATGCGTCATGTGAGTTTCGGTTGATTCCCATTTTATCTAGATGATGGGGACAGGGCGAGACAGATTTAAGTCAGCTTAAATCTCCGTCATAGGTAGGACAGTTCCTGCTGGCATTTCTGGCTATATGGGTGTGGCCTGAGACATTGGCGGTAACCTCTCAGTGGAACTCATGAGATAATACAATGCCTGAGTCGATTGGTAGAGGCGGTGGGCTATCCCTCCAAACCAGCTGTCTCTACTCTGGACGTTTTGGTGCTGGATTCAGGAATTTCCCCTGAAACAATGTACCCTGAAGCTGTATGCACAGGTGAATGCTTTGTGCCCATGGTTATCGTGAATCTCCAACCTCACGAACCGGAAACTCTCACCCTTGTGTTGCGCCAGGATCTCAAATGTTTGGAACGAATCCCCTTCTGCGTCAAAGAGAAACGTTCCAAGTCTTTCCTCTGTTGGTCCAAAGTCCTTCAGTCCGTAAACAGAAAGAATTGAGCCGACTGAATGGTTCCTGTAAGAGACTGCTCCTTCAGAATGTGTCCCACAGTCACTTGGGTGATGTGGATCTCCAGGGGTAGAGCTATGGAAAGCCTCCCAGTCTGACCAGTGAACGCCCAGCACTGTCCAGGAATCAAAGGGTAATTATGACTTTTGATCAGTGTCTGGGCCGAGAGGTTTGAGCCAAGGCAGGCCATTTTTCTGCTCGTGAGTCTTGGAAGTCACAGCAGTCAACACCTGAGCCCCGTGAGTCTCCAGTGCAAAGTTGGCTAAAGGAGCCCTCACCATCGCCTTGTGATGCTCAAGCTGCTGACGCAAATGATTAACCTCCTCCTCCAGCTGCTGCAAATATTTCACCTCGTCCTGCAGCTGCTGCACATCACCATCAGTAGCCAACTTCATCGTCACCTAGGACACAACAAGGCCAGCTAGGAAAAGCAGGATTATGACCCAGGCCAAGCAAATCCAGGACCTTGACTGAACTGCAGGCTCGGACAAATGGATGATTTTTGCGGCCTTCCTCGCCTCCAGTGGGTAGCTGTGGCGCCGCATATTTGTGGAGATGTTGGAACTCCTGCGACTGTTGTCGGAGTAGGAGATGCGGGATGCCCAGAGTAGTTTTTTCATTGATTCCGTCAATCTTAAGTTAGAGAGCGATCTTTCTCTTTCATTTTGTCACTGTCCACAAGGAGGTGCCACAGGGATCTGTTTGGGGGCCCCTTTTATTCATCTTGTACATCAACAATATTGAGCAAGATGTCCTTGATGCAAACATGCATTTTTATGCAGATAATACAATTATCTATTGTATTGGCTCATCACTTGAACAGGCTGTTGATTCTCTGCAGAAAGCCTTTGCTTTGAATTTTAATTTTATATAAAGTCACTTTACTGCCCATCATACGTCACTTTACTTCACTGTACCGCTGCCACCTTACATTGTGTGCACCATGTGCACTTGTATATTGTATATAGTAATTGTAACTCTATTTTAAATGTATTCCTTAGAAGTGCTTTTTATTCTTTATTTTTTGTTATGCTTCTCTACTCTTACCTCTTTCTGACTGTTGCACTGAGCCAAAGCAATTTCTATGTCTGTGACTTCCTGTTACTTACGTGGCAATAAAAATTATTCGGATTTTTTTTTTAATTCTCAAAACATAAAAAGCTACCTCAAACTCTGAGGGGAATATCATTGAAGTGGTGCATGAATACAAATACCAAGGAGTTATAATTGATGACGGCCTCACTTTCAAACCTTTTGTCGATACACTTGTGAGGAAATTGAAAATAAAGCTGGTTTTCTTCTTTAGAAATAAGACGTTTTTCTTTTGCGGTTAAAAGGCACAATACAAAAATTCAACAACATTGCGTAGCTTAGTACAAATGTTTATTTTTCCCCAAATGACAATTAACAATATGTTGTATAAAATTACATAGAGACAGTGGGATGTTCATGGGCTTCAAGATGCAAAAACTGGAACAGTCTCCACAAGGTCCTTTTACAAACCAGTATTTTGCCTGAAACCTATATATATTGTACTTGTGTAAAATCATGTTTTCCCTTTTTTATCATCATGCATTCAGTTAGAGGGGTAGTTGCATACAAACAGCTGAGGCACAGGTTCAGTTCAGAAAACCCCCCAAAATGCATCAACAAAGAGCACCCAGAAACTATAGGTGACCAAAAGAGCAGACTGGACTCCTGCGCCACATGGTCAGAGTTTTGTCCAGCAGGTGGCAGCAGAGAGCAGTCTGTGGTGACTGCCAAAAACATGGCATGTTTTTGGCACAAATCTCTCTGTCTCTGCATTTCATTTGTAACATAGCACCTCTGACTTCTCAGCAGTTCTATCCATAATATAAACAGTGAAATGGACATAATGACTTGATAAGTGTTAATTGCAGAAATGTGCTTATACATTTTAATACTTGCATGTTTTTCATGTTTTGAATGTTTTCTAGATATAAATAAAAAAAAAAGAAAAAAAGCCTTGAAACATATTTCAGATCAATAAAAAGTGCTACACATTAGCTACTCTTATGGTCATTGGCATAAGGAAGGACCAGTGTGCACCTCCTGTATTTAAAACAAGCATCTGTGTAAGGGACTCCAGCCTTGGTTTGGCATACATAACGTTCAGATATTTACATTGGCTATAAGATATATGCACGTAAACATTTCAGACAGACACGAGAGAAAGGATTCAAGTTATTTTCAAGAGACAGAAAAACATGAATTCACTATTAGATACTCAGGTATAAATACTGTACACGTATTTTCAAAAAGGGTTAAATAGAGGCATAATGGACCTTTTTGTAGCAATGGTTTCAGTTTGCAACAAGGCTTTTGAAAATGCCCTGGTCACCATGGTAACACTTAAAAAGAGAAGACAGGCGTACGTATACTGTCTCCCGGACAAAGTACTGACGCTGCCTGCATCTTGATCCGCTCATCCGGCCTCTGTTGAACCAGCCCAGCAGGCACTCACTGGCACATGGTAAGAACAGCAGAAAGTCTGTAGTGCATAGGAATCCCTGATCTCTGGTGCCAGGACAGAGCAGCCTCCATTTGTTTTGTGTCCCATGGACAGATACAAACACATTATGTGAAACTTTCACACTTATGTGAAAAAGTACAAAAAACAGTACAAAATTGTTCTTTATGCTGAAAAAATGTATTGAGTTGCTCAACAGCAATAATAAATTCTGAATGCGTTTTAAGTTAAACTGAAGTTTCTGACTGGAGCAAAAGCAGAAACTTGTGAGTCTTGGGGTCGACGTACTCCTCTGTGAGGCGGATGTAGGGGATGGCTTTGACAGTGACGGCTAAACTAAAGTCCAAACACTTGAGCAGGAAGTCTGCTCCCTGCTTTAGCCCTGTGGTCACAGAGGCGTCACTCACTAGTGTCCACTGGTCTGCCATCCAGCGCTCAGGGCCGTACTGTAGGGTGGGTCCCGGGGCCAGGTACGCCTCAAGGAACGCCTGCACACATACACACTGAGTATTTATGAAGAGAAACAGACACGTGATGGAAGCAGCATCTGTAAAGCTCACCTTTGGGCTCATGTTATTAACCAAGCAGAAGGAGAGGTGCTTTTGAATGCTTTCCATGCTGTGGCAGTGCTGCCTCCTGGTGGTACGGAGGTACTTCTGCAAGGCACGAGCCAGAGATGGGAAGACAGCCAGAGCTGCTTCTCGAACGTCCATGATGTCAGATGGAGTAGCGACTTCGTCCTCTTTCTTCATCCTGCGGACATGTGTAAAAGCCTCCTCCACAGCCACGACAAGCCTGTTAACATGAGATGTTATTAACACTAATCTCTTGAGGGTCACCTGATCCATTACATAGATAAAATACAGTTGGAATTTGAAATAAATTGTTCAAATGACCTGAAGGAGGACATGAGACCCTCACCTGGCTCTGCGCTTGCGTACTCTCCTCTCGTAATCTGCCTCCTCATAGTACAGCTCATTATGAGCGCTGTCTTTGCGTTTGGAGGCAGCTGTACCCATTGGCCGTGACTGATTGCCATTACCAGGCTGCGCCCCCGCTGCGTTCCCTGGAGCTGCGCCAGAAGGACAGGACAAAGGCAATTTGGTCATATTGGCTCGGTGTGAAGGTCTCCTGACCCCTCCACACTATGATTAATGACCTATGTCTCAATTAGTGGAGTGTTGTGAGAAGTGTGACATATGAGCTTGTTATTTGACAAGTGCTTTCTAACTGTGAACCATTATCTGTTTGATGATTATGACTGAATTTTGAAGTGTTTTGTTACTGTTTGTGAATTATGTGATACGTTTAACTTGGGAACAGTTAGCGTGGACCTCTATCAAGATTTATGCTCCTTATCTATGTATGCTATTTGTATTTCTACCCAATGCTAGTAAATAGCACAGACTTAAAAACACACACATACGCACACTAACAATCAAGCATATTAACACATTTAAGTGATAGGTTTTAACCTTGCAGCTACAGCTATTTTACAATCCATCTGCCTTGCATGGTTCTAAATATACAGTGAAAGCGGGGGTAGAGGAGAAATGAAAAGGCAACAGTGCAGACGCCGCTGCAGGAGGAAGGAGAGATGTGGCAGAATGTGAGAAACCAGCGCGGCTCTGATGAATTATTTAAGGATTGAAATTCCACAGCCCTCTGAGCCTGTTACGCCACTCTTTGATATTGAGGGGGGTTGGGTGAGGAGGTGCGATTAGGACATCGTATCATGAACTATTTCCCTGTTAACAGCACATATGTCTGGTGGCTCTGAGGAGTGGACTGGTGACCGCTGTGAGCAACATTTCAACCACAACAAGCTGTGCGCCATGTGCAACAGGCAGCGTGCCACAGGCCGAGCTCACGACTGTCACTTTGCATCTGTGGTTTATGGATACTACTCATTACCAAGGGTGGTGCTTACTTCAACCATGCAATTTGCAAAGAATTGTCTCTGTACTTACTGTCAAATAAGTGTGTTCTTAGAACATTTGTTAAAGCTGTTTATGGATAAATAGACATTACATTTTAATCTCTACTAAACAAAAAAACCCTCAAAATGTCGAAATTTAAAAATACTAAGAACTAACAATAAGATGAAATTTTGTTGTATGACATAGAAGACTGACCATCCACATTGTAGACCTTTAGTCCAGCTAAATGCTTGGCAGAACGCTGCTTGGATGCAGTGAGGAGGGCTGGGTTATGCACAGGGAAGTCTCTGTAGTAATACTCCAAGATGGAGAGGGCAGCTCTCTGAATGCTATGAGACAGAAAAAAGACCAATACATGCTTATTCAAACAACCATCATTCAATATGTTTAAATATGTTTGAATATGTATGTTTTAATTGCCACAATATGTTCTTCAAATATTGTTAGGAGAAAATTATGTCAACTTTAAACTCCACTAAAGGTTGTCCAAATGTTATTCAAATCAGAAGTTAAAAAGCCTTCATAATCCTATCACAATCATAATAATATCCAAAAAAAGGTAAGCAACTGCGTGATTTGGTCTGATCCCAGTTCAAAGAACTCGAGAGGAAGACATTGATTCATGAAAAGGTCTTTCTTCTCAGAGGACATGAGAAGTGATGTTGTTTCTAATGAGGAAGAAGGAGCCCATATTCTTTGAGGTAAGTCGATACAAAAGTGCTTTACTTCATAAACGTGACAGTGCGCAGAGCTACCTGAGCTGGCCGATGTTATAATGGCGAGTTTCTCCGTCAGTGGAGCGGATCACGCAGACGCTGTAGCAGGGCTGAAGGTGACGCAGCTCCAGTAAAACCACCGCCAGGTAGTGAACGAACAGCTGAGAGTCCACCAGAGACACCGCAAACTGCACAATGCCGTGGTAGTCCTCATCCTGTGTGGAGCAACGGTCAATGGGATAATATAGGTTATTTAAATTTTCAAATTTTGACTTCTTTGTTTAAATGCCTTGAACACTTAAAACATATCATTTTTAATCAATGAAGCCACAGCCTCTGAAGAAATTATATTTAAGTAGATTAAAAAACACATTTTATATTATGAATAATGGATTTGATGAACGTTTTATAGCATTATAGGCGCACAATAGGTATTAATATTATCACTATCACAATGGAACTGTGAAGTGAGCAGAGATCAGAATTCAGGAAGTTCAGGAAGAATCATTATCCATTTAAAATCCACATTTATAGTATAATGTTTGGGTGGGATCAGCTTTCTGGTGAGTAATGATCACAAAATCTACATTCATAAATTAAATTCAAGTTGCAAAGTTTTACCATATTGTACTTTTTTTGTAGCTGAAACGACCTTGCTATGGATAGTTACCAGGTAGCTAGTACTGTAGCTCCCATCGTAGTGTCAAACTCTTGATATTCTCTTATGGAACCCAAAGTTCTGTCCATTTCACATCATATAACATTTTATACATTAAATCAAAAGTATAAAATAAAATATAGTGGAACAAGTCCTTACAACATGTGCCATTAGTTTGTTTCTGAAATAAACTCTTCGTACATACAGTGCCTTGCGAAAGTATTCGGTTTAAAGCGCAGAGAGAACCATTAAGACAAAGGAACACACCAGGCAGGTCCGAGATACTGTTGTGGAGAAGTTTAAAGCCGGATTTGGAAACAAAAAGATTTCCCAAGCTTTAAACATCTCAAGGAGCACTGTGCAAGGAATTATATTGAAATGGAAGGAGTATCAGACCACTGCAAATCTACCAAGACCCGGCCGTCCCTTCAAACTTTCATCTCAAACAAGGAGAAGACTGATCAGAGATGCAGCCAAGAGGCCCATGATCACTCTGGATGAACTGCAGATAACTACAGCTGAGGTGGGAGAGTCTGTCCATAGGACAACAATCAGTCGTGCACTGCACAAATCTGGCCTTTATGGAAGAGTGGCAAGAAGAAAGCCATTTCTCAAAGATATCCATATAAGGTCTCATTTAAAGTTTGCCACAAGCCACCTGGGAGACACACCAAACATGTGGAAGAAGGTGCTCTGGTCAGATGAAACCAAAATTGAACTTTTTGGCCACAATGCAAAACGATATGTTTGGCGTAAAAGCAACACAGCTCATCACCCTGAACACACCATCCCCACTGTCAAACATGGTGGTGGCAGCATCATGGTTTGGGCCTGCTTTTCTTCAGCAGGGACAGGGAAGATGGCTAAAATTGATGGGAAGATGGATGGAGCCAAATACAGGACCATTCTGGAAGAAAACCTGTTGGAGACTGCAAAAAACCTGAGACTGGGACAGAGATTTATCTTCCAACAGGACAATGATCCAAAACATAAAGCCAAATCTACAATGGAATGGTTCACAAATAGACGTATCCAGGTGTTAGAATGGCCAAGTCAAAGTCCAGACCTGAATCCAATCGAGAATCTGTGGAAAGAGCTGAAGACTGCTGTTCACAAACGCTCTCCATCCAACCTCACTGAGCTCGAGCTGTTTTGCAAAGAAGAATGGGAAAGAATTCCAGTCTCTCGATGTGCAAAACTGATAGAGACATACCCCAAGCGACTTGCAGCTGTAATTGCAGCAAAAGGTGGCGCTACAAAGTATTAGCGCAAGGGGGCCAAATAATATTGCAAGCCCCACTTTTCAGTTTTTTATTTGTTAAAAAAGTTTAAATCATCCAATACATTTTGTTCCACTTCACGATTGTGTCCCACTTGTTGTTGATTCTTGACAAAACATTGTATTTTTATATCTTTATGTTTGAAGCCTGAAATGTGGCGAAATGTTGAAAGGTTCAAGGGGGCCGAATACTTTCGCAAGGCACTGTACATGCTCACATCACTGAGTTTACCTGAGCATCCAGAATGCGGACCCCGTAGAAGAGCCAGTAGGACATGGTGAGCAGCAGGGTGAGTGTAGTGAGAAAGGCACGGTACACATCCACTCGGGGCAGGCTAGCTCGGCCCGGCCGGAGGAACAGTGCCCAGATGGCAAGCAGCAGAATCAGCAACTTGAAGGAGACGGAGAGGAACAGGCCCTCGCAGGCAGAGCCACAGGCCTGCAGGCGGTCCGGCCACAGCAGAGCCGGCAGCAGCAGAAACACCAGCGGAGTAGCAGCCACCAGTAAGCCCACAAACAGGCCCAGAGCTACGGGCAGGTACCTCCGCACGTTCTGGGTACGGTCTTGGAGCTCCTTGCCCAAACCCACCACCTCCTCCTGGGACACACTCAGCTCTGATGTCCCTGTCACGGCTGTCGTAGTCTCACCCCAGTTATCATCCTGAAACACACACATTTAAGCATGAGCATGAGCATGAGCAAGGCAAGGCAAGTTTATTTGTACAATTCATACACAAGGCAACTCCAAGTGCTGAACAAAACAAGATAGAAACAATCAAAGCACTTTAAAAAGAGTAATTAAAATCCCTCAGTTCTATGCACAGCTAAACAGAACTGTTTTAACCTGGATTTGAAAATCATCAGAGAATGAGCCATCCATCCATCCATCCATCTTCTACCCTTTAATCCATTTCTGGGTCAGAATCAGAATCAGAATCAGAATCATTTTTATTGCCAACGTAAGTAACGGGAGGTCACAGACTTGGAAATTGCTTTGGCTCAGTGCAACAGTCAAAAAGAGATAATAAAAATAAGAATAAAAAACACTTCTAAAGAATAAATTTAAATTTAAAATAGAGTTACAGTTACTATTTACAATATACAAGTGCACATGGTGCACACAATGTAAGGTGACAGCAGTACAGTGAAGTAAAGTGACGTATGATGGGCAGTAAAGTGACTTTATAAAGGGCGGGGGGACAGGTTAAGAAGTGTTCAAGAGTCCAACAGCAGAGGGGAAGAAACTGTTCTTGTGGCGGGAGGTTCTAGTCCTGATGGACCGCAGCCTCCTGCCTGAGGGGAGTGGTTGGAATAGTCCATGTGCAGGGTGAGAGGGGTCGGCTGTGATACGACCAGCCCGGCCTCGAGCTCGGGCGACGTACAGGTCCTGCAGCGATGGAAGGCTGCGGCCGATCACTTCCTCTGCAGAGCGCACAATGCGCTGTAGTCTCTGTTTGTCCCTGACTGTGGCTCCAGCGAACCACACGGTGATGGAGGAGGTGAGGATGGACTCGATGATGGCCGTGTAGAACTGCACCAACATCTGTGCAGGCAGCTTGGCTTTCCTGAGCTGCCGCAGGAAGTACATCCTCTGCTGGGCCTTCTTGATGAGGGAGCTGATGGTCGGCTCCCACTTGAGGTCCTGGGTGATGGTGGTGCCCAGGAAACGGAAGGACTCCACAGAGGTGATGGGGGAGTCCATCACGGAGGGTGGGGGCGGGGGGACAGTGCTCTTCCTGAAGTCCACAATCATCTCCACTGTCTTCTGGGCGTTCAGCTCCAGGTTGTTACCACTGCACCAGGACACCAGCCGGTCCACCTCCCTCCTGTAGGCGGACTCATCGTTGTTGGAGATGAGTCCAATGAGGGTGGTGTCGTCCGCGAACTTGATCAGCTTCACGGAGTCGTGGCTGGAGGTGCAGTGGTTGGTGTACAGGGAGAAGAGCAGGGGAGAAAGAACACAGCCCTGTGGGGCTCCTGTATTTATAATCCGAGAGTCCGAGACATTCTTCCCCAGACGCACTCGCTGCTTCCTGTCCGTCAGGAAGTCAGTGATCCACCTGCAGGTGGAATCGGGCACGTTGAGCTGGGAGAGCTTGTCCTGGAGCAGGGATGGCAGGATTGTGTTGAAGGCAGAGCTGAAGTCCACGAACAGGACCCTGGCGTAGGTCCCCGGGGAGTCCAGGTGCTGTAGGATGTGGTGGAGGGCCAGGTTAATGGCGTCGTCTACAGATCTGTTGGCTCTGTAGGCGAACTGCAGGGGGTCCAGGAGGGGGGAGGTGAGGGACTTGAGATGGGAGAGAACCAGGCGTTCAAATGACTTCATGACGACAGACGTAAGTGCTACAGGTCTGTAGTCATTGAGTCCTGTGATCCTGGGCTTCTTCGGGACGGGGACAATGATGGAGGATTTGAAGCAGGCCGGGACATGGCAGGACTGCAGAGAGGTGTTGAAAATGTCCGTGAACACAGGAGTAAGCTCACTGGCGCAGTGTCTCAGAGTGGCCGGAGACACGTGGTCCGGGCCAGGAGCTTTGCGGGGGTGCAGCCTCAGGAAGAGTTGTTTAATCTCTTTAGCGGCTATTGTTAGGCTGGGGGCAGGGCTGATGGGTGGGTCGTTAGAGTAGTGGGGGGTGGGGGAGGGAGAGGTGTCAGGGGCAGCATCAAAGCGACTGAAAAATAAGTTCAGATCGTCAGCTAGCTTGTGGTCATCAGCACAGGGGGGGGCTTTGGGTTTGTAGTTGGTGATCTCCCGTAGGCCCCTCCAGACAGAAGCAGTATCGTTGTTACCAAACTGCTCCTGTAGTCGTTCTCTGTGCCGGGACTTGGCTGCTTTCAGTTCTTTCCTGAACTGATATTTAGCTGCTTTGTAGCCGCTGCGGTCCCCCTCCCTGAAAGCAGACTCCTTTGCTTTCCTGAGCTGCCGGAGTTTAGCAGTGAACCAGGGTTTGTCGTTGTTATAGATGACCCTGGTCCTTGTTGGAATGATGCTATCCTCACAGAAGTGGATGTATGACGTCACAGTGTCCGTATATTCATCCAAACTATCTGTGGCAGCTCTGAAAAGGTCCCAGTCTGTAGATTCCATGCATGCGCGTAGCTCTTCCACAGCTTCATCAGACCACACTTTGGAGCTCCTCACTGCAGGTTTCGAGAGCTTTAGTCTCTGTCTGTAAGCAGGAACCAGATGTATCATGGAGTGATCTGAGAAGCCGAGGGCTGGCTTGGGAACAGCGCGAAAAGCTCCGCGCACGGTGGTGTAACAGTGATCCAGAGTGTTCTCCTCTCTGGTCGGGCATTTGATAAACTGTCTGTATTTGGGTAATTCCTGGCTCAAGTTTCCCTTATTAAAATCCCCCAGGATAATAATCAGAGAGTCCGGGTATAAGCGTTCCATACACAGTACTTGCTCTGCGAGTGCGCGCTGAGCCTCGCGCGCGTCCGCGCATGGCGGTATGTAAACAGAGGCAAGAATGAATGAAACAATTTCCCGCGGGGAGTAATATGGTTTACAATGAATGAAAAGATATTCCAGAGCAGGAGAGCAGTGCTTGGAGATCACTGTCACATCGTTACACCAGTTTGTATTGACGTAGAAACAGAGCCCTCCAGGGGTGGCAGTCAGAGATGCCACCCAAGTCTCATAGCACCAGCCCCTCACTGACCCTCTGCAGGTGGTGAGTCCACAGGAGGACAAGAATGAGCCTGTCTCACATATTCAGGAAGACTGTTCCAGATTTAAGCTGCATGAATCTGAAATGCTGTCTCTCCATGTTTAGTTCTGACTCTGGGAACCAGCAGGAGTCCAGTCCCTGTGCTCCTCAGAGTCCCAGTTGGTTTATATGGCACCAACATGTCACAAAAAGGTTTGATTTTAAAAACTTTCTTGAATAATGAAATGTAAATAAAAACTAAAATGATTTTTGTATTGATGCTTAAACTTGGGAGGTTTGCTCATTATGTCAAGCCTTCAAAGAGAATCCAGAACCCACAATCCACTCCGCTCCTCTCCTATTCAAAGCAAATAACAAAAACTGCCAGGGCCACATTAAAAATTAAAACATATTTTTCTCTGAAGACAAGGCTGTTTTGACTAGATTTTCTCCAGCATTGAGAAGAATCTTTTTGTCTTTTTGGGGGTCATGAATAAGTGTTATTGGGCCTTTGTTGTTGCCAGGAACTTAAAAAATATATAATAAATGTTTTTTGTGTTGAATCAAGTTTAGGCCACAAATCCAGACTGTTTTAAAACCTCAAAACAGAGAAACCTGTTGGAACATGGTGCAAACCTAAGAACTCATTATTGACCTACATTTCTCTGTTTCATCAGTTTTCCCAGATAATTGAAGTTAAATATATTAATAGACCTAAGGACAAATGAAAGATCCAATGTAGTGAAGATTTGAAGCCTAAAAGAAGGAACGCAGAAGAACAACAGATAGATTCATCGCACATAAGACAGATTAATTCATGCCATTGTAGAAAACCCAACTGAACTTTCTGAATTGACAAACACAAATAAAAAATTCATCTGAAATGCTTAATTAGATTTACTAGCATTTGGTGAGTCACAGGTTTGAGTAATGGTTATTATCCTGCATCAGTGGCTCTGCTGTCTGTCTATCTATCTATCTATCTATCTATCTATCTATCTATCTATTTATCTTTAATGTGACATTTATCTCAGAAGTCACCTTTATCATTGTCAAGAGCAGCTGGTAAATACATATGTGGACTCGCCCCATTGCCTCAAAGACTGCCTGATAATGAAGCAGACTGGAGCAGCAGCTTGCATGGCACTGTTCTTATCTGGCAAATAATTAATAGTAAATTGTTGGAAAGCAACAACAATTAGCGCACATAAGATAGCCAACAACAAAACATAATGCTAAGTGGCATTAACTGTAAACAGCCTGTTAAGACTGTTTTAGGCTTTCCCCCAAAATAAGTCTGAGAAATTGGGGATTTTTTGCATGAAAGTAGTGAATGCATCATCTATGAAACAAACAGTCTTTGGTGGTGCAAACATCTGAAGGAAACTGAAGCTGCTGCCTTCTGGCACAAAGACTAACAAAGCACATGGGCGCTCTGACAGCACTGACTCACACTCACACTGGGACATAGGGCTGTCACCCAACACTGCCGCCTTATGTCATCGGCATGCGTGTAAACATGGAGGATTATTCATATCAGCTTTCCTCAAAGTGCAGTTTGCTATAAGCTAATTAGAGTTTGTGAAAAATTCTGTGTGACTTTAGCATTAGAGCCCTCCCAAAACTCTTGACTGCTTTGATTTGGAAATAGCAGTGGTGGTGGTAAATGTCGGGTTCTTCAGTTCTCCCCTGTTTGGAAAGCTTCAGTTGGGGGAGGGGGCATGCTTTTACAATAGTAGATTAACTTACACTGGCCACAATGGACATTATGAGCTGACAATCACATGACAGCATGGAATGTGGTGGCCGTGCCAGAAGGGAATGCCAGGAAGAGGAACAAAAAGAGCCTAACTCAAAGAAATTATTAACAGCATCACTGAGACTCCATTACCATCCAGGCCCACAACAATAATGATTGGATGTTTGAATACTGTAGACCAATGATTAGGAGCGAGATGATTCACAAAGGATCTTATAGTCCAACATTTCCTTTTTATAAATGGTTATGGTATTTAAACCATCTTTTATTTACTTGACTTTGGACCCTCTGTTCCAAACAATAATGGCTTATGCTCTGCTGTCTGTCTGATGCCATTGTCATTAGTGTAGGTCAGGTGTTGAGCAGCCAGCTGTGAGAGGGACTTTATAAAGCCATGATCCAGGATAATCTGCTAGTTTTGTGTAACAGTCTGTAATTTCTACAGAAATACACAACCTCTGTCTTGACCCTTGAACGTTGTGGGTCTTTGTACCTGTGCTTCCTCTCCCGGCTCGGCAGCTGCAGTGGGGTCTCCAGGCAGTGGGTCACCGTTGTGGACAGGAGACTCCTGGGATGGAGAGTCAGGGGGGTTAATGACCACAGAGCGCTCCGAGCGACTGCTGTCTTTACTGCTACTGGCCTTGTGCCGCTCACGGCTCCGATCTCTGCAAAATATTACAAATATTTACAATGAGGATTACAGACTGGAGTCTTTGTCATGAAACCAAGGGCAGGAGGTAGTTCCACTCACGTGTGTCTGTTGGACCTGCCAGAGCGGCTGGAGTAGCCCGAGTGGGTGGACTCAGTGTCCATGGCTCAGAGAGTCGGCCAGCTTAGAGAGGGGACTGGACGAGGACGGGGAACACTCCAAAACTCAGAGAGAGGGATGCGTTGCTATAGAGACAGACTTGAGGAATCGAAGGCCGCTGAGATCCACAACGACAGCTCGTTTGAGTCCCACATTGACCTGAAAGCACATAGACAAGTGGGGAGAGAACCTTAGTGTTATCTTGAAGTAATGTTTTATTTCCGAAACAATATAACAAAATTCAAAAAGTATAGATGTTATTTCTGATATTTATGTGCCCGTCTTGAGGATAAACTGTACACAATTGGTTCTGCACAAGGTTATCCATCATCATTTGTCAAACACTTGCACACTTCCGCATTAATGGCCCAGTGACTACAGCGGTCTGGCACAGTATCCATCCATCTATGTCAAGCTCTTTTGATGCTTTGCCCTGAAACAGAAACATCCCTGGGTTCTAATGCATTCTGCCTAATGTATGTGTAAGTGCTTCCCCATGCATGACCGTCCATTCAGACCCTAATCTACTCTGTGTCTGTCTCCCAGCTGTTGTCCTGACAACCACCTGCCTGTCAATGGCCACTGCAGTCTCACTTAACCAACCAGGATAATCCTCCACACATCATAGATAGATTATAGCCATGTACTTCATATTATTAACAAATATAGTTCAACAAAAATAAGAACAAGTTACAATAGTTGAATCATATTTTGTGAATTGTTAGCAAGATAAATATGTAGCGTTACTGCTTCCAAACTACAGGACTAGTAGACAGTACATGCTGCCTAAACCATGTCATAACAGAAGACAAGCATCTTTCATCCTCAACCCATCACTGCTGCGTCCACTGTTACCGCGGCAACAGACGAGGCAGGGGGCCCCATCAAGCAGCAATAATCAATCACCCCACAGAGGGCAAATGTGTGTTATATGCCTCTTTATAGGAGAGAGGGGCTAAGAGAGCAAACAATACCTTTGGAATAAAATGGTTACATTAAAAAAGCCTATGTTTGAATGAAAGCGTTAACCCCCTCAGTGCTGTATGTGGGTTACAATCATATACTGAAGACGCACTGATCCACGAGATGAGCATGAAGGGCCACAGTGAACCAGGCCATGTGGAAAATCTGCACCACGGGGCTAAAAAAACTATCAATTACAAAACTGCGGATAGTTATGAATAAAGGATGCAGGGTAAGAGCTCACATCAGGGAAGTACAGTTTCCTCCTTCAGTCGGAAACATTCAGCTTCCCCCTTTGATGGGACGAGAGGGGCCCGTGCTGTATGAGGCTGCGTCACCGCCATGTCACGCCAAGCATTCTGGTCGGCTGCACCTCGAAGGGAGTCACGAGAGCAGAAAGTGACACTAATGTAAAATAAACACTGATTAGAGTGTTTGTTTAGCGCATTGAGCCGGACTTACTGTACGAGTGGCACAGACTCTGGGGTCAAGGCCACGTGGACGCTGCACCAAAACGCCCTCTGAATGCTATAAATAACATTCTAGAGACTATATCGCAGAAGTATTGGAACAAACCTATTCATATTGTGACATTCAAAGACGTTAATTGGAGGATAACCCAGATTTAGTAGAAGGAGTGGGGGTTTCAAGCTAAAGTGCCTCGGAACAGCCAGAACTGTGGTCTGTTTAGAAAGCCCTTTGTCACTTACTTTTAACTTTCTGAATGCATTACTTTAACTAAGTGTTCTCCAGCCTTTTTCAGCCGTGGCACAGCTTTTTAAATAAAAACAAACGGCACACTGTCATCTGAAACCGAAGCAATAATGAAACTCCGCAGCATTTAGTGACAATGCAAAGACATTCTCATCAAAGTAGGTTGCATAGAACATCACACAAGAACAGAAAAATTGTAAATGAATCTTCTCACATTATTTTCTTTTCATCATAAAGGCTGTTGGAAAGTGCTACAAATCCATTTGAACAATTGATTCTCACTAATGCAGTGCCACACTACGTCTATAATACTCAACTTGGTACCATTGTCAATGCACTTTTGCCTGTTTCCATTTCATAACAGTCATAAAATAAAATAGAAGAAATATAAACAAATCTTATTCCCCTAAGTCAAATAATATTCTGATTATCCTTCAGCTGATTACTTAAAGATTCAACAGACATGTAATTGAAACCAAAACATATGTGTATATATTATATTCTTATTGAAAGTGTCCTGGATGATATGCCGTATGATAATATTGAGGTATGACACAGTATTGGGGATGTAGCATGATAGTTACAACAGCTAATATTCATAACCTCTTTAATTAACACACATATATAAATGGTTATAAGGACATTTTGTATGAACTATCATTTGAACTATAATTTTAGGTAGCTCTAGCTTGTTAGAGCTGAAATAGAAGGCTACAAAAGACAGCCCACAGCCTTATGTCGGCGCACATGGTGAGGCCTGCTCTATGACATCTGTGCCCTCTCCCATTAGCTCCGTCTTCCTCCTCTAGTACTGGACACGCCATCCATGACCCAGGGCTCATAATCCAGCACTATGCCCATATATAATGTATGTGCAGCGTGAAATGCACAGAACGGTGAAAGTCAAACCGGTTTAAAAATACCAAATTAATTAAAAAGAGTGGAGAGAGTAAGACAATCCTGTAACCCTACAGTAAAACCTCTGTTAATTCGAAGAGTGAAAGTCTTTGTGCTGGGGATATTTATAGTGATAGCCATCTCCAATCCCTCCCTGGACTTCAGATAACCCACAGGAACAGCTGGTGATTAACATATTATTCTACCACTGCCCACTTAGATCACACAAGTTGTAGGCCGGCAAACATTCCACACACACTGCCCTTGGACACTTGGACTTTTGTTTCATTCTATTGACCCCTTGCTCCAAATTCTTTCAACTAGTATTTGCAGCAACTTGCACCTGACACTGTTTATTACCACGGCCCTTGTTGCACTTCATTTTTCCCCCTCACATATAGGTAATTATTGAAACACTTGACTTTTAGGGGACAGCTGAGGTTCACCCCTCCACCTTAGCCTACTCACACAAGCAGCAATAAATGCAGAAAGTTAAGACCTGACACACTCTTCAGGAATGCAAACTTCTCCATCTCTTTCTCACAACTGGACCTAAAGCAGGCAGCACGCGGTGAAATAGACATTAGGATAACATTGTGTCACATACAAAGCACAAATACACAGGTAATAACACACACCATTATATTTAGAAGTATATTCATAAAAGCCAATGCGGTCTTAGCTTATGGTCAAGATCTAAAGGCAACAATACCATGAGAAGAAGATAAGAAATGGGAACATTAACAATTCCTACTCAGCTCCTCATATATGCATAATATGTCTCTGATTACTCTTTTGTAATGCAAGTATTTATCATGGCAAAAGCTTAGTACTGTAACACCAGTGCACCACCGCTGCTGCCAAATACAATACACAAATATACAATTGTTGAAGGCTGAATTATCAATGACTGCCCTGGCCTTAATAGAGCTGTTCTTGCCTCTACTCCACGTTGACCCTTTGGGAGTATGGGGTTTTCCATTCATTCAGATAACGCCCAACCTTCCAGCTGCGTGCATTCTGTATCCTCCAGGCAGATGCTGATGATGGCGATAAGCACCACCACACCACACCACAACCAAACCACACCAGAAGGAGAAACAGGGGTATTTTAAACTCATTTCAAAGCTACAAGCTCCGCATAAAAGACGGTAGTGTAGATGTGGTATCGCTTCTCTATTACAATGGATCCGCTTTCGTCCTGAAGCTATGAGATCATCCGCTCTTCATCCAGACACCGTTTGATAGAAAATTAATTAATGCAGAATGTTAAAATGCATATAATAAAACAGGGTGTATTCAGAGGAAGAGGACATACAGCGGGTGTTCAGCAAGAACAATTAACAACTCGACACGGCACCAATTAACTCAATCAATTCTAATGGGGTGTTGTGCCTAGGGTTGGGGGCAGTCATGATTCGAGCCGGTATAGAATGGTCACGCAAAATACTAGAAAACGTGTCCACTTACCGTATTTCTGCTTTACACGTGTTCCCCCATCTTCTGCGACTCCCGGTGTCCGGTGTGAGGGCAGGGTTGTGGTAGATGTGCTTTTTTCTCCGCAGTGAAGGGCGTCTCTTCTCCGGTAGCAGAGGGGGAAAGGCAGCTCCTTCAGACGCGCCTGGTCATTGTACACGGAGAGAGGCACGGGCACAAGTGCACCAGCAGCAGCCATTCCAGCGTGAGCCTCTAGAGGGCGCGATGCATGCGTAAAAGCAATAGATCCATGGTAAAACGTGACACGCATCTGACAAGGGGGAAAAAAATAAAAATAAAAAAAATAAATGAATACAACTAAAAATGAACTATGATACAATGATGGATACATGATAGAATGGCATTAAATAAACCAATCATGTAGTTTTAATAAAAATTTGTTTTTTTTTTTAAATGTAAAACGTGTTTTTGTTTTATTTTAATTTGTATAGTTATTGTTCATTTATCTTGTGCTGTGTGCTCCTCATTCCTACTGTTCTGTTACTTGTGATGCAACACTGAAATTTCCCGGGCTTGCTGTGGGACGAATAAAGGATCTCTTAATCTTAATGTAATGGTCATCTTGGGCGCCATGAAATCATAGATAGACTATTCAATAATCATATGACATTATTATTACAATGTTATCTGTCATGTGACCAATACAGCAATATATTAATGCTATTCCTTTTTCGTTGTATAGTCTAGTTCTATTCAAGTCCAGTCCAGGCAGCCGCAAATAAATAAATAAATAAATAATGAATAACTAAATAAAAACATTTAGATTCATTACATTTTCATTTCATTTTTTTTTTTTTTTCCCCAAATGAAGGGCTTGCTAATTTGAGGGTGCAAGCCTCTGGTGGAGTAATGGTTAGTGATTTGAATAACGGATATATTTTTTATTTGATCAATACTTTATAATGTCAGCGCCTGAAATGTCATGAGTTTGCACACGGATCTGCGTTTAAAGCGGATGCGCAGCAGAGTGCACAAAGGCCCATAACTCCTGTGGCGGGAGTGGACATGAACAATACCGCGGCCCCTGGAGCCACATTACGCACAGAGGCGCACACAAAGAGACCAGAGAGTGACTGATGGAGAGAAGAAGTGAGGAGCTGGGCCTTTCACATCCTGAGCTCATAAAACACACAACCTCTGGCCATGAGTGAATGTAAGGCAGCTGCAGCATAATGGACCACAATGCTCAAGGTTGTACAAAAGTTTAATATTATAGGCTGTACATAATAAATAATATATATATAAATATGTCACAATAATGTAAAACAAACAATAATAAATACAGAAATATCATAAGAAATGGCTGCAGGGTTCAACTTGACCTTTTTAAGTCATGTCTAAAGTCTGTGTTACACGTCCAGCACGTGACCGAGGTAGGATATGTAATGAATGGCCAGTCTGAGTATCTCTATCTTGGAAAGCTTCTTATCCGGGGGCAGGATGGGCAGGAGTTTTCTGAGTTCATCAAAGGCCACGTTGAAAGCCACCACGCGCACACGCTCTCTGGACGCGTGCGCACAGCGGTATTTGGGGGTGGCGCGTCTGCTCCTCCTTCTATCCTCCCGACCCAGACCGACCGCACTGGGCATGCGCACTTCCAGCTCCATCAGTGACTGATTACTCCCAGGCCACATGGGGGTCTGTTCCGAAGTCAACATCATCTTGTTTCCTGAAAGTTTATGCACAGATACACTGCAGGTTAGTTTTACTTTTGAGTTCAAAACTGAGAGCCTCATTCTAAAGAAGTGGTCCCCATTATGATAGATCCATTGTGGTCCCCTAAAAAGTGAATATGAGGCTGTGGGTGTGCTGGCCTCTAGTGGTGGACAGGTCATTCTTACTGGCGCTGTCCGACGTGCTGAACTTAATTACACAGCATGTTATTGTAAACATACTATATCAACATCTTTAGTGCACAACTCCCCAGTGTGTGTGTGTTACAGTTTGTCAAGCAATAAGCTGTTCAGGAGCTTATGCAATGTAAGGGAAAACACTTTTTCAGACAAGAGAAGTCGTGTAAACACAGACCATATCATTAAAAGCTTAGAAGGCTATGATAACACGTTAACCAAATACAAGTGAAAGCATAAACGATACTTGCCTTGTCGTGAAATCTTTTACTTCTACATCAAACGAGCAGAAGTGTTGAAAAATCTGCAGAAGCCCCAGCTCCCAATACTTTTGATGTTAACCTTTCTTTAAAGCTGCGTAGAATGTCCTCCTCAGATTTGCTGTTCTAGGCAGTTTTGTAGAGTTAATTCCAGTGTAACACTCCGCTCTCTTTCTTTCAGTCTTATGTTGATAGAACTCACTGTTGTCTGGTTCTTTCACAGTGCCCCGCCTGCACAGCTGTGCATAACCCCCAGCCTGTGCCGTGCACAAACACATGCCGCTTTAACTGCTCATTATCATGGGCCAATATGGACATAGGTTTATTCATTTAGTTCTAAGGATAACATTTGGTGGTTACTTTATCCATGTGATATAAAGTGTCACACATGATCCCTGATTCAAATATAATCTGAACAAGTTGCAGGGTGCTAAAGTGCATTTGTTTAGTTAGGGCTCTTGTCTTAACCTACATTTGTAAGTAGGCCTATAACAGAACATACTCTTTGCAGTTGACCTATTTGTATTCTTAACAAGCAGCATTGTTACATACTGTACATTCACCTCGAACCAAATCAGCTTGAGAAAAATGGTCATGTTTTCAACGCCATTTGGTACATTCCAAATTCCATTATAATGTATTTTCCCCTTTTTCCCCCATGTTCCTTCGTCTAGCAGCTGATGGGTAATTATCAGTCTATAAGGCCTAAGACCTTTTCTTAGTATGTGTATCCACTGGATTTAGCCTCTATTGTGATTATAATAATTATTATTGTTGTTCAATACTATGAACAAATGTATCCTCTGCAAAGGAAACCAGATTTTGTTGCATGAATTTTCATGTATTGCGCTCTGCACGTCCACCCCCATTATTCAGCTCAGTCTGGACACCATCTGTCTGAAGGCCACAGAGATGCATATACTCAACATGCACGGCTCTGTAGTCCGGCCATGGTGCAGCAACCAGCTACAATGAGTGACAGATGTCAACAACTTGAAATGAAAAAAACAAAATGTTATCAGCGGGTTGGATATTATTATTTATTTAAAATAATGATATAAGATAAGAGATCCTTTATTCGTCCCACAATGGGGACATTTCAATGTTGCAGCGAATAGGGAGCACACAAAATATACAATATACGTAGCTGCTATGTTTCTTAGATAGCTGCAAATGCTTCAATATCAATCTTTCAAAATATCTCTATATATACTGTCACGTTATAGGGTAACGCAGGGTAATATGTAGATAATATTGTTTAACCGTATTTACCATTAGAAATAAGATACACTCCATATTTAATTCCAGTATATGAGCTGTGTAGTTTTAGCAAATACTAAATATCTTTCTTTGCGCTGTTTGACACTTAACCTTGAGGTTGATTCTGAATCTTGTCGTTTAAAAAACAGCCCAAACAGCAGAATGTGAGACCATTATAAAAGGAGTGGTAATCATCTGGAAATAATTATATATGAGATCATATAGGTTAGGGTTAGGGTTAGAGACATAATTTGTGTCATAATTTCCAATCTGTATCTTTCCTTATTCTGCTACACTACCGTTGCAATGGGGGTGCAGGAAACAGACAAAGTAATAATGTAAAGTGAGAACCTATGCCACCAATGTTTTTTCACAAAATGGATGTGAAACGGTTAAAAGGTGGAGCCCTGAAACTTGGGTTTAACTCTGGGTAAACCCAGAGAAAAGCCTTTTTGAATGTACACAGATGTGACTCATTACAAAAGTGAAAATTGGTAATATAATACAATTGAACTCAAGTTACACGTAGACATAGAATGTAAGTGCACATTTGCTTGCATGGCATCTCTTTTCTGAGCGGACTTGGTCTTTCAGCCAGGGCTTCAGGCAAAGTGGGGTTAAATGTCTTGCTCACAGACACAACAATAGCAGTGAGCAGATGGAGTAGGTCTCGTGGGAAGATCGAAGCTACGACCGCCAGGCCTAATGACCAATGCTCTACCAACTGAGCCACTGTCACTCCGTTATGATTAGTTTTCTGGACCAAAAGTGACTCAAAGTAACTGAAATAGACTAAATATAAAGTGCACACATCAACATGGATATTCCCAGGCTAATAGCTCATGTACATACAAATAAAATAATATTAGGGTATAAGTCCTTAGCTCTGATGGTTCAAATGTTCAGTGATGAAACTGCTTTACATGTTAGCAACATGTAACTACTGTGCAAGGCAAGGCAAGTTTATTTGTATGGCACAGTTCATACACAAGGCAACTCAAAGTGCTGAACAAAACAATATAGAGACAGTCACAAATCTAAATCATAATAATCACTGTACATTAAAAAGAGTGAAGATAAAACCTGAAGAAGCCTGGCTCACATTTTCAGGAGGACTGTTCCAGATTTTTGCTGCATGAATCTGAAACGCTGCCTCCCCATGTTTAGTTCTGACTCTGGCACCAGCACGAGGCCAGTCCCTGTGCTCCTCAGAGTCCGATTTGGTTAATATGGCACCAACATGTCACAGATGTACGAAGTCTCTCCATGCGAGGCCATGGAGAGACTTGTACACAAGCAGAGCTGTTTTAAAGTCTATTCTCTGAGCCACAGGAAGCCAGTGCAGAGACCTGAGGACTGGACTAATGTGATCATACTTCCTTGTTCCAGTCAGGACTGAGCTGCAGCGAGTACTGCAGAATGTACTGCAGCTGTTTTACATCTCGTTTGGAGAGACCTGTGAGCAGGCCGTTACAGTAGTCCAACCTACTGGAGACAAATACTGTGCATACTTCAAACGAATGCATGACATGGAAAGTCAGGTTGGCAGTGTTAATAACGAACTAGTAGTTATACCAATACCTTATAAAAAATAAAAAATAAATTCTAGCGTAATGTAGGCTAACCAGCACTGGAGGTCGTTTGTGAGAAGCCAGACGCTGTATAGAAAGTGTGCTGGGATCAGGAGCTCATCATAATCTGCTGCTGTGGCGACTTTACTGGCTGTGGGTTATAGTTTTTGAGATTTTAAAATGATTCAATAGTTGAAATTGAACACATCCTAACCCTGACCCAAAGCATATAGGTTATATATATATAGGTAGTGGTAATAAAACGTGCCCCAAACAACACAGCTTCACTGAAACACAGACAGGTCAGAGCCATGTATTTGTATTTTTTACAATCAACCACAAGATGGAGACACTATACCTTTGGAAAAATCCTTGCGCTTCTGCATCAGTGAAATTATCTGCGGTGGTTTTGCTTTTCATGTCAGAACTTGTCTGAACAAAAGCGTAGACTCTCGTGTTTCCCACAAATCACAACGCACCAAACCGTAAACCTTAAAAAAAATCATATGATCCTGTTTTAGCAGCGAGGAGAGCGCAGCCTCAGGCCAGAGCAACAATACAAACATGAATGAAACTCCGCTAATAGTGTGGTTTTGTGTGAGCAACAGGACAAAACCACAAAGGCACCACATTCTTCTTATGAGCCTATACACTTGTAATGCGTTACACTTTTCACCTCTAAAAGCTGGGGTACTGTATCTAACTTTCAAAAGATGGAATTTCATGTCAATTCTAATAAAAAAAATAAAATCACACAAGTAGCCAATCATCAATCAGATCTCGGCCCAAGGAGTCGAATAGTGACTCACAGGGCTCTTTCTTAATAACATGATTTCTAACAAGATGAACCTTGCAGCATGTTCGGTCTCATCTGTTCACAACATTTACAAGCTCTCTACTGTTAACTTAGGCGCCATGGCACTCTCTCGCGTCTCAAGAGGGTTCGAATCCCGGTCAGAACAGGGTCTTTCTGAGTGGAGTTTGCATGTTTTCCTCGTGTCTGTGTAGGTTCTACGTCATGGTGCTACGTCCCTTAGGACTTCGCTAGTGGGATATCACGTGACCCCCAGGTCACAGACGCCAGAGAGATCAAAATAATTTGCTCCAATCACCAGCCACCTTCCTCTATAAATGCCCCTGCACAAGGCCGCACCCCCTCTTTCACTCTGGCGCCGTTTGAGATCTACATTCGTTACCTGAGAAAGAAAGATGTCTTCTGATGCACGTCCGAGTTCCCCTTCGCCATCCGGCGTCGGACGTCGTCGTTGCTCGACCTGTCGGGGCAAGCTCCAACGCAAGGACCAGCACTCCAGCTGCTTCTTGTGCCTGGGTGCGGGCCATGCGGCGTTGAGCGCCACCTGCGCCTCGTGTGTCGCTCTCCCCAGGGAGGAGAGTGAACGCAGGCGCGCGTTCTTCGCCGCTTCAGCGCCCCGTCCGGACTCCTCTAAGGACGAGGAGTCTGAGATTGACTGGGCCCCCCTCGACATTCCACCTGTGCCCGCGGAGTGGGGTGACTGCGAGGACGGAGAGGTGTCGGAGGTCGGCTCTCTCCTCACGCTGGACGAGGTGGTGTCCAACCCGGAGCCGGACCGCTTCCCGCTGGACCATGGATGCCCCCCTGCCACCGCAACCGAACCAGAGGGTGGAGGACTTCACCTCTGGGTACGCAGCCCCTCGAGGGAGGAGGAGAGCC